TCCTGGGTATTCTCCAAGCACAGAATTAGGACAGCACTGCCACAGCCACGGAGCCATAGCCGATCTTAGATTACACACTGCTCTGGCCCACACCGGAGAAGAGAGGAAGGAGAACCTGGTTTGACGTTTGGCCTCTGTGAGCTTGGGCAGGGAGGAGGCTCGTGCTGTGGTGGAGCAGGAACAAGGCCAGAGAGGGGCTCAGCCCTGTAGACTCACTGTATCTTAGGGGTAGAGAAAGACAGACCAGCAATGAAGACGGCAGTGTGGGGAGAACCAGTAAAGGTAACAGGTAGGTCCATGCACGTAGACTAGCAACACACAGCTCAGAAGGGCCCAGAGGAATTCACAGGCAGGGGCCGAGGGCAGTGACAGAGCTGATGATCAGTAGAGCTGCAGGATCCTAGAGACTTCATCACAGGAGATCCACAGAGCCGGGATCCACAGTAGCTGTCGGTGGCTAATGTGTAGCTCTGCATCTGGACCTTCGCACAGATCTCCTCCCATTGTTTGGGTTCCTATGGGGATGAAGTTTGATGGGGCACCTGGGGCTGAGGCATCCTTGACCCACTTCTGTGGACTTGTGGAAGTTTTTTGACCCACCTAGGCCTCTCCCTCTCCACTGTAAAACATAAGAGTGCAGGAACCCTTGCCCTGGAAGTCTGCCAGGACATGTGTGCAAGGTTCCACACGGCAGCCTGCTTGGCACCTGAGTCCTAGGGGACACTACCTTCCCTGCCACCACTGGCTCGCCTGAAAAACGCAGGTACTGGCTCTTGGCGATGCAGGCAGCTTCCCAGATGTAGGGCTTTGATCCACTTGTCCCCAACTTTGCAGGGCTGGCAAGTGCCTTCTCACAAACCCGAGAAGTGAAGAAAAACCGAGGCACTCTGGCCCCAGGTCACAGAGGGTCCTCCTCGGGGTAGACAGGGGACCCAGGAATCACTTTCTCCCAGACCATCCACTCAGTAAGGGATTCCTTGGTGACAATGTATGTGTGAGATGTTGGCATTCAATGCAACATAGATACCTTGTATAAGATGACAATCCACATGAATTTTTAATGCAAGACATGATACTTAAAAGCAGCTTCTCACTAGGCATCCCCTCAAGACCAGACTTTCACACCTCTCCATGCTCTAGCACTCTTGGGGACCATTCAGAGATGCATTTGCTACCTAAAGCCAGTGTAGGAACCACAGCGGTTCAGAAGGGAAAGTCACAGGCCAGAGTTATGTCTGAGGTGGCAGCAAACCATGCCTGCGGCCACACTCTGATTATACTGCAGGCAAGACAAAATCAAAGAGAGCTCATTTTGAAGACAGCTCACAAAGTGGTCTCCTAAGAAGCCAAAAAGAACTGCTCAGTCTGTAATTGTTACTAAATGGTCTCCTAATTGGATTCCTACTTTCCAGCAAAGCTATCCATTTACCCTACAACAGGAGTGGTTCACACAGGTGCTCTGCAGTAGAGGGCCTTACCACTCCACATCTCTGTCAATGTGGGGGCAGGGGCAGATGGGACATTCACTTTGGCTTCTTTTTTTTTTTTTTTTTTTTTTTTTTTTGGTTTTTACGAGACAGGGTTTCTCTGTATTGTTTTGGAGGCTGTCGGTCCAGCCCGGCCTGGAACTCACAGAGATCCGCCTGCCTCTGCCTCCCGAGTGCTGGGATTAAAGGCGTGCGCCACCACCGCCCAGCCACTTTGGCTTCTTAATCCTCTTACAAGCATGTTGCGTGGGCTCCAGGATCTCAGGTCCCCATTGGGTTCCCAAAGGTTCTTGAAAGTTTTAGCTATCCATACAGCTTCCTAGACCCAGCAAAAGATGCGGTCACAGTAGATTCTCGGCCTGTTTCTGGCCTGGGCAAAGCGTTCTGTCCCCAGCACCAGGGTTCAGCCCGGTGTACAGTCAGATCTATGCCTGGATCTATGAGTGGACTGCCTGGAGCTCCTCCTGCAGAGGTCACAGATGGCTGAACCAAGCTGGGATTGCTTCCCCAGTGAGCGCTTTGCCCATGGGGTTTCCGGGAGGAGGCCAGCAGAGGTCAAGACAAGAGAACTGATAGGGGCTTACACAGCCTTCAGTTGCATTCCCCACTTACACAAGGGGGAAGACGAGGCCCACAGCAGAAGCAGGATATGCCGCATAGCACAAGCCAACAGCCAGCCGACTGTGTCTGGAATATGGCAAAGACCTGTCATTTTCCTGCCCCTGGCAACACGGAACCGAGCTGGGCTGGACTGGGTTTGCACAGACACAGGGAGCCCAGTGAACCTGGAGTGTTCGAATCATACCTCCCTAACAGGGCTGATTTGTGTGTCCTTTTGAAACTGCAAATGCCCACTGCCCCATCTTCCATCTCGATGGCCTGTAGAAGAAGCCAAGAATCCTGAATGGGAACAAGCCTGCACAGAGGCCCTTTCCAGAACGCTCTGCTGGGCCCATATTCCGTTACCCATCTCAGCTTTCTGTTGTAGGGCTGTCGCTGAGGCTCAGAGGGGTCAAAGTCCCAGTCCAAGAAGGAACCTTAGGCCTGACCTCACTGCTCCCCACCCAACCTCTCTGGGAAGCCTTCCCTACCCTCAGGAATCTGAGGCTCTCTTGGTTCTTTCTGCCCCAGCTTCCCCTGCCCTCCTCCTTCCATATATGGACATAGCCTGCAGGCTGCCCTGTAGGCAGCTTACCATCCTGGACACCAACACTGGGGTGGCTGAACACACATGACTTGGGAATTGCTCTATTATTGGGAAGATGGCCCTGTTCACTGAGTCTGACTTTCAAAGGCCACTTCTGTCACACACACACACACCATCACAGCTACGGCAGGAAGGACCCATGGCAGGCAGGGAGGCAAGGGGTCTTCCCTGCTCCTTCCATGCACTCCGGGTTTCTGGCAGGTAGAGGTCCCCACAGCTGCCCTGAGCATGGACAATGCCCTGCCTCATTAGCTTAGACTCAGGAGAGCTTGTTTCAGACCCAGGCCTCCTACTATGAGGTGTGTGATGGGGTAACTCTCACCTTTCCTTTCCGTTTTCTACCCTGGAAAATGCGATAGCAATGCCTCATTATGTGGACAGTTGTGGATGGGGTGAGATTGTCTGTATGAGGCATGAGAGAGGTCTAGGAAGAGGCAGGGAAAGCTAACACCAACTCACCCTCCTCCTCCCTAGCTGCAAAGCCCCAAGGCAAGGGTGCCCTTGTCTTCTGCAGTAGTCCTCCAACCTCTGCTCCCATTCTGTCCAGGAGGAAGCTTTCACGGTAACAGAAGTCAAGGAGAGGAAGATACAAAACCAGATGACCTGCTCTAGCAGACAAGATGGCACGCCATGAAAAAGCAGTGGAGGGGACTAGAGCCAAGAGCACTGGCTGTTTTTGCAGAAGACCTGAGTTCAGTTCCAAGCACTCATTTGGCATCTCCTAACCACCTGTAACTCCAGGGATCTGATGTCATCTTCTGGCCTTCATGGGTACCAGATATACATGGTACACATACATACATGCAGGCAAAAACTTGTACATAGAAAAGCAAAGTAAAACTAAATCTTGTGCAAGCAACTGAGCTCCACTGCAGTCCAGGGAGGGCTCTGCAGGCTCCTGTCCTCCCACATGGCTGACCTGTCTCTCTGAGCCCCTGAACCTTCACCAGTACTATAGCCCCCAGAGTACATGGTGTACTCCTGTAGTAGCACCATCCTGTGTTTCCACGCCCTCTGTGGGAGGCTCAAACACAGGCCCCAAGCTCTAACAGGGATGCGTCTCTGGGGTTGGCCCTTGGCAGAATTGCTGTTTCCCCTCTTTTTGTCCAGCATCAAACAATCAAACAAACACAAAGCCATGACTATGTGATTAATAGGTTACATTCTAAATGACATTTCTTTAATTTTTAGAACCTGAAACACTTGGTGACCCATAGGAGTATGATCTCATTGCTCCTTAATTCTGTGCATCAGCTGACACGAAGCATACAAGTGCCCCAGGAGGTCAGGGTTGATGACAAAGTCTGGTCATGATGTATGGGGAGGCATTGGGAGTAGAGACAGCACAGCAGCGATGGGATGGGTGAAGCTACCACCCAGCATGTAGTCTTTATGCCCATTGCCCATTGCCCCATGCCTCTCTCCCCCTCCCAATAAAAGCTGGCCCATGGTGTGAGTTGCCTAGCATGGAAATCTGAGGATGAGAGCACCCTGTCTTCTCAAGGCGAGGCCTTCAATAAACTCCATTTCCGTCCCACCTCATCTTGTGAGCATTGGCCTGTAGCCAGTAAAACTGCTAGAATTTCTCTTTTTGCCACCACCCAAGTACCTCTGGGACAGATACTGATCTTGTAGGGAGCACTATACAGGGCTCATTCAAGTCTCTGTAAGATGTGGGCTACACCCCACTTTCCTACAGAGACACCAAAGCACAGAGAAGTGAAGCAGGATTTGAATTCTGCTCTGTCTGAGTCCCCTCCTGGGACCTCAGACTGATTCTCTAGATTGAGTCCAGCATGCTGACTTCATGCTGGGGTCTCCAGATGGGCCAATAAATAGCCACACATCTGCAGGAGGGGCTTTACCATGATCCTCTCTCTTCTACATCTAGATAGGAAGCAATAACCGGTAACTAAGATCAAGAGACAGCAAGCAATGCTCTGACATGGAGCCAACCCAGCCCCAGAGATGACACCCTAGAGAAGGCCTCAGAGCTGCCAGGACTCTGAGCCAGGTGGATCTGATTCAGCTGCCAGCTCTGCTGATTCTCCTCCCTGCCTGTCTGCTGGAGGCTGCCTCCAGGACAGGGGAAGATGGATGTGCCCTAGATAAGCAGGAAGGCCCTTCTCCAAAGTCCCAGCTGATGGCTTCAAATACACTCATCAAAATGAACCAAAGCAACAAGAGTTGAGGGACAAATGCCTTACACCAGACCATGATTCCAAAGTAGAACCAGTCCAGTGGTACAGGCAGCCATGGAGAGCCAGATCCCAAGGGTTGGCCACCCTGGGCTGGTATGTACATACCTTTCTCTTGTTGGCTGGGCAGATATAGAAGTTGTCAATGACAGTGGTGACACCAGGCTGGAGAGTAATCTTGGTGTATGTTGTCCCAAAATCTGAGGACCTATGGGAACAGAGATAATTGTCAATACGTGTCCTTCAGAGGTAGGCTTTACAGCATCATGGTGCCAACACTGGCAGACCTGAGATAACAAGTTTTGTTCTCTCCACCTTCCCAGGGGAAGCATGCCCCACCCCAAATGCAAATGAGGAACCTGGGTTCCCTTGCAGATAGCTGGTTTGCTCAAGTGTACAGCCCAGATCTGGAGTTAGAACCAGAAGTCAGAATGTTTTGGGGGGAGGTAGGGAGTGGGTTCAAGACAGAATTTCTCTGTGAGACCTGACTGCCTGGAACTCACTCTACAGGCCAGGTTAACCTTGAACTCAGAGCTCCACCTCTCTGCCTCCCAAGTGCTGGGATTAAAGACATGTGCCACCACCGCCCCACTGAGAAGTCAGAACTTCTGGATCCTTCCATCTCTACAATGTGTCACAAAACCCTGAAGATCTATTCCATTTTGTTTATCACATAGATGAGCGGTAGGCACCAAGGGGACAGGGTCCTGCATGAGGGACCACTCAGTTGACACAAGGTTCAAGTCACAGTCCATTCAGCACAGCCACTGACTGAGCCAAGGCCCTATGCTCTCATCCACTCATCCGTTGCCATTTCTGAAAGCTCAGGGCCACCAGGAGCATCCAGGTGCAGGCTGACCCCTGCCTTGAGCACAGGACCACAGGATAGCAGGGACAAACCTGGTAACTGCTGGGAGTCAGATCCCAGGACCTGTGCCACCAGGAACTGGTCCACTGAGTTCACCATGGGAGAACAGGCCAATAACTCCACACCACCTCCATTAAGTCCCACCCAGCCCCTTTCCTCAGCCTTAAAATGAGGAGATGCAGGTGGAAGGAAGGTCCCAGTAGCTCTCTGAGCACTGAAACCCTAAGGCCTCTAGAAACAGGAGGGAGACATGCTGAGGCCTGTGCTGTGATTCATGGATACACCAGACCATGGAAACACCTCTACACTGAAGTGTAAGTCACAATGGCTTCCTATGACAGCTCATTAAAACATGGGAACTTGGGCTGGAGAGCTGGCTCAGCAGTTAAGAACACTTGCTGTTCTTCCAGAGGACCTGAGTTTGATTCCCAGCTCCCGTATGCAACTCTTGCTCTGGGGGATATGGTGCTTTTGTCCTCCTTGGGCACTTGCACTCATGAGCACAAACCCACACGCAGATACACACCTACACACGGATACACACCCACATGCAGATACACACCTACACACAGATATACACCCACATGCAGATACACACCTACACACGGATACATACCCACACACATAGATACACACCCACACAGATACACACCCACATGCAGATACACACCTGCACACAGATACACACTCACACACATAGATACACACCCACACACAGATACACACCCACATGTAGATACACACCTGCACACGGATACACACTTACACACAGATAGACATCTGCACACAGCTACACACCCACACACAGATACACATCCACACACAGATACACACCCACACACATACACAACTGCACACAGATACACATCCACACACAGATACACACCCACACACATACACAACTGCACACAGATACACACTTCACACAGATACACACCTACACACTGACACACATTCACACACAGATACACACCTGCACACAGATACACACTCACACACATAGATACACACCTACACACAGATATGTACCCACATGTAGATACACACCTGCACATGGATACACACTCACACACAGATAGACATCTGCACACAGCTACACACCCACATGCAGATACACAACTACATGCAGATACACACCCACATGCAGATACACAACTACACGCAGATACACACCCACACGCAGATACACACCTGCACACTGATACACACTCACACACATAGATACACACCCACACACAGATACACACCTACACACAGATACACACCCAAACACAGATACACACCCACACACAGATACACACCTCACACAGATACACACCCACACACAGATACACACCTACACACAGATACACACCTCACACAGATACACACCCACACACAGATACACACCCACACACAGATACACACCTCACACAGATACACACCTACACACTGATACACATTCACACACAGATACACACCTGCACACAGATACACACCCGCACACAGATATACACCCTCATGCAGATACACAACTACACGCAGATACACAGCTATACACAATTAAACACAATAAAGATGCATCTAAAATGTATGGGAACTGCAGACTATGCCAAGAGCACTGGGGGAGTTGGGCCAGGTAGGGGCTCTGGATTTGGTCGATGTTTCTGCCTAAGACCTCAGCACCAAGTGCTGCCCGAGCCTAACCCCTGGCTGTGATGCTGCTGTTACCTGTACTTGCTGTGTGGCCTCAGCAGCATCTTCCCTCCTCTTGGCCTATCGAGAGGCTGGAGGAGGCCAGGGCGTATTGTTCCGGGGCTGAAGTGAGACCCTGAGCCACGTTAGTGTAAATCCCGCTGGCTGGGAGCTTTCATAGTCTATGCTCACTGTTCTTGCAGCGCTCGCTCCCCACCCAACCGTCAGATCTTCAGGCGAAGCAGCTCCAGGAAGATGATCACCTTTACTATCACTGGACTTGGTGGCCACAGGTCCCCAAGGTCTGGCTTCTTCAGGACTCCCCAGGAGGACTGGAGCAAGCAAACAAAGATGACACCATGTGCCTACTGTCTAATCAGGGCACATTTGCTCTCCAAACCGCAGAGAATTGATTTTCATTGGTAAAGGGGAAGTGAGAGGCCCCATTAGCAGAAATCGATCCACACGGCCCAGAGACCCGTAGAAACACGGTTGTTTATAAGCTCAGAGCTCACAGCCTAATGCTGTGAGCTGCCCTTCCCAAGACCCTCACATCCCACCCCTTCCTTCCTGCTACCGCTGTCTCGGCCTCAGCCCAGCCACCCCAGCCTCTTTCCATCCTCCTCACTACAGGAGCTGCCCAGAGCTGAGAGCTCAAGGACACCTGTGGTCCAGAGAGAGGCTGGCACATGCTAAGGAAGGTAGCAAAATGCACCCCACTGAAAGAGGAATGCAGGGACCAGGGAGTCCCAGGAGTAATGGGAGCACTGGGTCACAGACAGGCATGGACAAAGTAATATATACACAGAGGCCTGAGGGAGGAAGGGGGACTGTGCCTGCCAGGGAAAGGCACCTGTCTCCGGTTGACCAGGGAAAGGCACCTGCCCCCACTTGGCCAGGGAAAGGCACCTGTCTCCGGTTGACCAGTATTTTCGAATACCCATCAGCCAAGAACAAGAGTGAAATGTACATCACACAGATGTCATCAGGATAAGGCAAGGCCACACTGGAAGGGTCACATGAAGACAGAGGTCACTGCTGGAGTGCTATAGCCCCTGAGAGATGAAGGATGTGGAAACAGATTTTCCATCAGCTCCCTAAAGGAACTACCTCCAAGATGCCACCTGTTCTCAGGGTTGGGGCCTCCAGAACAGTGGAGGGGTCCTTTACAGTTCCTTAACATCACACAGCAGCCATAGGACACAGGTGTGGCATTCCAAAGAGAGAGGGGAGCAAAGACAGAGACACACATATGAGACAGAGAGAGAGAGAGAGAAAGACAGACACAGAGACAGACAGACAGAGAGAGAGAGACAGACAGACAGAGACAGACAGAGACAGACAGAGACAGACAGACAGACAGACAGAGAGATTGACAGGCAGGCAGGCAGATGGGGGAGCAACGGGGAAGAGAAAGAAAGTGAGACAGAGAGAAAAGAGGAGACACTGAGACAGACTGAGGAGGGACAGACAGACAGATGAGGCAGAGACACAGAGAGATACACTGAGGCAGAGATAGAGGAGGGGTAGAAGAGTCCGACAGAAAGATGAAGAGTTGGGTGGGGGAGACAAGGAGGCACCGTAGCTGAAGGTCCAAGGGACCCTGGGAAGCGCAGAGGGGAAGTTAACGAGGACACCCACAGTCCCTGGCTGCACATCACCTAACCTAGCCTGACTTGCCGACTGCCCCAACCCCCACGTTCCATCCAGATTCTCCCTGCCCTGACCAGGCCCTTCCTGCCCACGTGCCTTGAGGTGCTCCTGGGCAGGGTAAAGGCTTAGAGTGGGGGCGGGGAGGGGGCACAGTGCCACGGGCAGCCTTCCTCAGGAGGGCGTGCGTGTCCTGTGGTTGTTGTAAGAAGCTCTCACATCACAGTGCTTAAAACATGGTGGTCTCAGGAAGTTCAGAGAAGTCAGACATGAGGCTTCTGGGACTAAAATGGAGGTGTTGGTCTCTTTTGCAGGCTGAGAGACAGCCTATGTCTTGCGTGTTTCGCCCTCTAGAGCAGTGGTTCTCAACCCCTTTTGGGTGTTGCATATCAGATATTTACATTACAATTACTAACAGTAGCAAAATTACAGCTTTGAGGTAGCAACGAAATAATTTTATGGTTGGGGGTCACCACAATAGGAGGAACTGTGTTAAAGGGTCGCAGCGTTAGGAAGGTTAAGAACCATTGAAGACTCCTTCCAATGCAGGGCTTGTGGCCTGCCTCTGTCTTACAAATCTGTCCCCAGAGTCTGCGTCTATCCCAACATCAACCACCTCTGGACAAAAGTCCTCCTCTCCTGGTCCTCAGGACTCAGAGGACAATCCCAAGAGTCACCCCCAGGAATTCTCAGTCCCACATGCCAAGTCCCTTCCACCAAGTAGGAAACATGTGTACAGGTTCCAGGATTAGGCTGTGGCCATCAAGTAGCACCATTCTATTGTCACAAAGTGGGGCTTTGACCTGGGTCTGGAGTATGTGTGGGAGCATAATAAGTACATCGGCTGATGGGAGGAGTGGGCTCTGGGCAACAGCCAGGTCGGGGCAACTAGGCTGGAACAGGAAGGGGTAGAAAGGGCTGAATCTGCTTTACGATGCAGCAGACTCTGGTCACTTGAGGTCACTGTTCTTGGAATATGGTCCATCTGGCCAAAAGGCAAGAAAACCTTGAAACAC